ATCTATCTATCTATCTATCTATCTATCTATCTATCTATCTATCTATCTATCTATCATCTTATCTACTGTATATATAATCTATCCATTACCTATCTATCTGTACTATCTACTATCTTATCTACTACTGATGTTGTTACCTAGTTGGGTAATGAAATTTCTGCAAGAAAGCCACCAAGCTCAAAGAGCACCAAGAATCCCACAGTCCTCCTCCTCCTCCTCTTCCTCCTCCTCCTCCCTCTTAGCACTGATGATTTTACTTAGTTGGGTAATGAAACATCTGCAAGAAAACAACCAAGCTCAGAAAGCACCAAGGACCTCCATAGTCCTCCTCCATCTCCACCCTCCTCTTCCTCCTCCTCCTCCCCTCCTCCTCCTCCACTCTGCAAACCACCCTCCTTCCTAGCACTGATGAGGTTACCTATCTGGGTAATGAAACTTCTGCAAGAATACAACCAAGCTCAGAAACCACCAAGGACAATTTTAACGTAAGGTTCTGTCATGGTAACTGGGTTCACTGAACACCACATTTGCAGCAACTTCCAATAATCCATTTTTGAGAGTTCTTTGGGGAAAAAGTAAACCCAATTTAACCTGGTATACATGAAATAGCTACCCTGGTAATCAATATCTATATACCCTTCACAGTTTTCACTTCAGATTTAGAATTTCAATCCTATTTCCCTTTCTTTTCTTTTCAAAAACTAGGCTATGCGCAGACTTGCTTCATAAAGGACAGCTTCAGGCTTGGGAAGACCATGGACAGCGTACATCAATATCTTCAAGCAATTTATCACAGGACATTATCTGTTGCACTAGAAGAAAAATATTTATGTTATTCAAGAGACTTCACTCTTTCCCTGCATCCTATAATTTATTTAAATTATTGGTCAACCTGTTTTGCACCAGGGGTGCTCATGCATAATGTATTTATGCGTTATTGTGATTTTTGATGTACGGAAGCAATTGTAGGAAGGAAATTGGGCTTCTCAGGCAGGAGTTGCTGACCTCAGGGGTGCCAAACTTGCTACCTGTTCATCTGGTACTATATTTGTGGCAGGCAAATAATGCAATAATCTCAAAGCACAAAACTGGCCTCAGAAGTTAGAAGTGATTTTTTTTTCTGCAAGGTTTAAAATCAAGGAAGACCAATGCTGGTTTGAAAAGTATTCTCTTGAGAAGAATCCAAAGAAAAACACTCTTCCAACATATTTTACACTGAAACAATATAAAAAGTTCTTTCCCCATGTCATAGTACATCTTCACCCTTTACCTTCTTGAATGTTTCTCAACTTCAGCAACTTTGAAGATTTCTTAACTTTAGCCCCAGAATTCCTCCTGCTGGCTAGGGAATTCTGGGAGTTGAAGTACCACACATCTTAAAGTTGCCAATGTCACTTACTGTATTAAGGAGCAGAACTATGCAATATTATGGACTCAATATTTTAAAATTATAAATTGGGTTTCATTGTTTTGCCCAGTTCCATTTTTGACACTTTTTGCAAGAATGTACTGTCTGTCCGTCTATGATTTCACTCTTGAAACATCCTCTTTTAGTTGTTAATTAATGCATATTCATGAGCATCTCAAATACATGGTCATGCTATTCTGGAAATTACAGATTATGTGTTCTGGAACAAAGCATTATTTCATTCCTCGCAATAAAATAATGTTTCCCCAAACTTGGCAACTTGGAGATGTGTGGACTTCAACTCCCAGAATTCCCCAGGTGAGGAATTCTGGGAGTTGAAGTCCATACATCTGGGTGAGGAATTCTAGGAGTTGAACAATACATCTTTTAGACCTGGTGAATTAAGGTCTAAAGTTGTATTTCCATTCCACAGAATTATTGAAAAACAAAATATTATACTAGTTCTCAATGTAGATGTGCCAGTTAAAAACTAAACAACTGGGCAGAGGTATCTGCATGGGAATGAAAAATTAGTTCTCTATGACCTCTTCATCAAAGCTCTGCTCCTTTGATATGCAAATCATGGAAGTGCCACTCATAAGGGAGCAAGGCTTCATATGGTTATGATCATGTCAATTTTTTTTAATCCCTTTCCTTCAGGTGCCTCTGGAATTGGATATTGATTTGGGAATATTAATTTAATGTGTTTATATACTCAGGAGAAATATTTGAGAATAAACAGATTTTCTGGGGCTGGGAATCTTTCTGTACTTATCCCTTTCATAAAAGATTTATAAATAAACATTTGCAAAATTGTATGTCTGAAAAAGTCACTTTTTCCACTTATAAGTTTCGTCTAGAAGAGTTTTTTTTTAAAATAGAAGTACATCTGAATATTATAAATTTTTATAATTCTGAGATCTGATTGTTCAGTAAGAGAGACAGGATGGTTTTTAGAGACAACTGTGTGATTGAAGCTCTGCTTAAGGGCCGCGAAATATAAGAAAAAAGTGAGATCCTTGTTGCTCTTTGATTGTTTGCTTCAACTAGAACACTGATGATGTTATCTAGTTGGGTAATGAAACGTCTGCAAGAAAATCACCAAGCTCAGAAAACATCAAGGACCCCACAATTCAGCCCTGAGTTACAGATATTCTCTTTTATTTGATATAAGGAAAGAGTCTGATTTCAAACAGGCTAAGTTCCCCAAGAAGGTGCACTTAGAACTAAGGAATTAAATTAATAATTTACACAAAAACTTACTTAATTTCAGCAAAAGAACAGAAAGATCAGGCATTCCTGGATTTGTGTTTCAAGAATGCATTCAATTTTTGTTTGTCACAATTATTTAGTTTTTAATCAACAGTATAGCATAATAGATATTGGGAGGTTTAAAATGTTGAAATTTGAAATAAAAATGATCATATATTAGCAAATGAGATTTTATATACTTGTATATTCCAAAAAACACATACACATATAATTCTCAGCTTTTTATCAATGTTTGCTCTCACTGTATAGGGAAATGTATTCTGTATTATTGAGCAAAAATACTTATTTTTACTTTCTGCAATAAGATATGGCCAATTTAAAGGGATCCCAAACCATTTTAATTTCTTTCTACATGAAAACCAGTCTCTTAAGTCAAAACAAATGGATGGACAGGTGGAGAGAGAGAGAGAGAGAGAGAGATGGGTGGATAGATGGATAGATGGATAGATAGAGATGGATGGATGGATCTTTCAAAATTCTCTGCAATGGTCATACTGGCTGGAGAATTCTGAGAGTTGTTCTAATTGCTCCAATATTTTGTTATTGGATGATTTCTGCTGCCTAGTGTGTAATTGTGGTGTTGTGTTAAGTGTACTTTTCACTCCATTTTAAATTTGCTTAGTTTCTCTGCTCTGTTCTCACCAACGCCACAAGGCTGAGATGCTTGCCCGTTACCAAGGCAACTAGAACATGCCCAAATGAGGGTTGCGGGGTACCAGTGGTGGGAAAGGAACTACAATTCCCAAGATGCAATTTGACATGAAGCGGTGCCATTTTTAGAAAGGAGCCTAGATATTATAAATGTTTGACCATCAGATCTTTGCCATAAGATCATTTTCTGTACAGTTGACGTCCAAGATTTACCAGATTTGGACTGTAAAATCCAAATAACCACTAGAGGACAGCAAAGAGCTGCCAACCCTCTGAATCTTTCTGCGATTCAGTGATTTTGCCTAGCTCAACCCTTTTATAACCTTGACAGGGAAGTAGAAAAGCATCCAGGAATAAAGCAAGGCAAACTATTCTTCCGCCAAGTCCTTCTCCCAAAATTGAGGGAGATTTTTATTGCAGTAAATAAAGTCTCAATGGAAGACTTATTCTCATGGAGCCAGAAAATGTAGACTGACCCACAAATGAGATGACTGAAGTTTAGGGACTGAAAACTTTGTTTTCCTAACTCCCATATTTGTTTAAATAGCTTTATGTTTAGAATGGGAATAGGAACGGAAAAGAATTAGAATAGAATAGGATAGGATAGGATCTTGGTTGCACTCTTTCCAGAGTCTCAACATCTTTTTTACATCATGGTGACCAAGACTGAATGCAGTATTCCAAGTGTGGCCTTACCAAGGCATTATATCAGGGGTGCCCAAACTTAAAACTTTAAGATTTCAACTCCCAGAGTTGAAGAGGGCAGCAAGGAGCTCACAGTTCAACCTAGAACTATAAATATTCTCTTTTATACGGTTGTAAATCACTGCACCACTCACCACCCCTGTCAAACTAAGCCAATGACAGTCTGAATCAGTTCCTTGTTGCTTTAGATTGTTTTGGGTTTGAGTCATGCTTCAACTTCCAGAATTCCTATTGCATTGCACTGACTCCATTGTAGCACATGACTGCATTGCATAGCACAGCTGGCTGGGGATTTCTGGGAGTTGAAGTCTACCCGGCTTCAAGTGGCCAAGCTTCAAATAACTTCAACTCCCAGAATTCCATATTGGATATTTGAATACCAAATACTATTTAAACACATTTCAACTCCCAGAATTCCCCATTGCACCACATGGACTCGGTTGCATGGCAGCGGCCAGTAATGTGGGCTGGGGAATTCTGAGAGTTGAAGTCCACAAGTCTTCAAGTTGCCAAGCTTTAGAGACCTCTGCATTATATCGTGTGTTACATTTATGTTACAAAGTTCTCTTTGGGGAATCAGAGGACAAATAAGATCCACTTCTAGGGAGCGAATCAGAATAGAAAGCTTTAGGGAGGAGACGTGCACGTCTACACCTTTCCAATCTCTATGTTCAAAAAGGCCACGCGCGACAGAGCGGGCGGCGCCCTTTTATGACGTCACGGCGCAGCTGGGTTCTTCTGGTGCCAGCATGGAAGGACTGAAAAGTGTTCCCGAGACGGGGACGGCGGCTCTTTCCGAGCCGGGTTCTGCGGAGCTTCTGGGAGACGGTGAGCAAGAAAGGCCGGGAACCAAGGGAAGGGTTGGGCCTGGTTGTTAGCCGGGTTTTAATTACTTTAACACTCCCTCCCCCCAAAGACCCCTTGCGTTCACCGGCATTAACTACCTGCCTTGGGGGGCTGCAAAACTTTCTGGACGTCGCTAGGTGACAGCAGAGTGTCAATCGTGGCTTGCAATCCTTCTAATGTAGGGTTGTCCAAAGTTGGCCACTTGAAGTCCGAGGGGACTTCAACTCCCAGAATTCCCCAGCCAGCATTGCTGGCCGCTACCATGCAATGCAGTTGTGCGTTGCAATGCAGTGCAGTGAGGAATTCTGGGAGTTGAAGTCATTTGAAGCTTGGCTATTTGAAGATGGGTGGACTTCAACTCCCAGAATTCCCCATTGCATTGCACTGACTCCACTGTAGCGCATGACTCCATTGCATAGCACAGCCAATAGTTCTGACTGGGGAATTCTGGGAGTTGAAGTCCACCCGTCTTCAAGTGGCCAAACTTCAAATGACTTAGACTCCCAGAATTCCATATTGAATATTTGAATACCAAATAATATTCAAACACATTTCAATTCCCAGAATTCCCCCATTGCACTGCATGGACACCATTGTAACACATGACTGCGTTGCATAGTAGCGGCCAGCTTGAAGACAGGTGGACTTCAACTCCCAGAATTTCCCAGGGGCAACTGGACTTTTTTTTTTTTTTTGAAGACGTTTAACTTCTCATCCAAGAAGCTTCTTCAGCTCTGACTGAATGATGGGGAAATCGAAGGATTTATATTCCCCACTATCCCGTCAGAGTGGATGAAGCTTCTTAGATGAGAAGGGAAATGTCTTCAAAAGAAAAAACAAGAAAGTCTAGTTGCCTCCTTAAAAATAGCACTTTTGGGACAACCACAACCTGGATGATATGACTGAGAATCTCTACAGAGTCTACGTTTATTTATTTTGCATGAAGCAAACTCAAAAAAGTCCATTCTCTCCGAGCAGGCAAAAGGAAGCCAACTTTTCTTGATTGTTTTGTGTTTCTCGTGTCCCTTTCAGAATGTTATGTGGATTTTTTGCCGGAAGACTTTGACGTGAAGGCATATACCTCTCAATCCATCCACCAGGCTGTTATTGCTGAACAATTAGCAAAGCTTGCTCAAGGGATCAGCCAGTTGGATAAAGAGCTTCACTTGCAAGTAAGTACCATTTGTATCACCAGTTAAAGGTAGGTGTGAAATATAAAGCACGACAAGAGCATTGCTTTCGATCTAACTTATGGATGGGCATCGCAATTTGTTGATGGTTGCACACGAATGGAAGTTGGGGAACCAGTGTTCCCCTAAACAGGAAAATGGCTGTTTGGGGACTTGAAAAATGAGATGTGAAGCTTTGGGCTAGTCTTGCATCTGGTATTCATAAACCATGTTTTAGTATTGGGTTAGTAGCAGTTCACTGTGAAGGAAATATTAAGATCAATAGAGAGTTGTCAGGAAGTCATACATTTAGCATTTCAGATGCAAAACTTAGACAGAATTGTAAGAACTAGGACACAGGTTCTTCAAACATTGCATTTTGTCCACTGAGACATCAGATTTTATCCTGTCTGTCTGTCCATCTATCCAGCAATGTATGTATGTATGTATGTATGTATGTATGTATGTATCAATGCATCCATCCATTCATCCACCTATCCATCCATTCATTTGTCCATTTATCTGTCTGTCCATCCATCCAGCTATCTATCATCATCTGTATTTATCTATCTATCTATCTATCTATCTATCTATCTATCTATCTATCTATCTATCTATCTATCACCTATATCATTTATCTGACTTTCTGTCTGTACCCATCTGTTTGTCCATCCAGCTATCCATCAATCATCTATCTACCTACTCTATCTATCTATCTATCTATCTATCTATCTATCTATCTATCTATCTATCTATCTATCTATCTCCTATATCATTTATCTGACTTTCTGTCTGTATCCATCTGTTTGTCCATCCAGCTATCCATCAATCATCTATCTATCTATCTATCTATCTATCTATCTATCTATCTATCTATCTATCCATCCATTCATCCATCCACCTACCTACCTACCTACCTACCTACACTACCTACACTATCTACACTATCTACCTACTCTATCTCCACACATTCACCCACCCACCTATCTTCTACCTACCTTCCTATTTATGTAGTTTACATAGCTGCCTCTCTTGCAAACATGAGTCTTGGCAATCTACAGTATGACAATTAAAAATAGGTCTAAAGTAATAATTAAAAATAACCCAGCATCAAGGTAAATGAAAGAGAATGGACCAATATCCTGTACCTAATACCACCACCATCCAAGGCTCACTATTTCCATGGGATCTCCAAGCCTGCTGGGTAATCCATTGGTTTGAGAGAGGCCAATAGGATCTTTTTAAAATACTTCTAAAATACAAATTACTTTTTTTTAAGCCTCTGATTGATATTTTCACTTTTTAGGTAGTTGCAAGGCATGAGGACTTGCTGGCACAAGCAACTGGCATAGAATCTTTGGAAGGTAAGCAACTTTCATTTGTTATAAAATTTACTGAGCCCCTATAAATGGGCTTAAATGTAGGCCTTCTAATAAGGGTGCCTCAGACTTACATTCTAAATCATTCTTTCTCAACCTTATGAACTTTAAACTGTATGGACTTCAACTCCCAGAATTCCTCAGCCGGCCGTTGTAACTTTCTTTGAACTGTCACTAAATGAATTGTAAGTCTGTTCTCTGTTTTTTGGCCCCTTTCCAACAACCTGTTCAACCTGTTGTACTTATTTATATTGCCAGCAGGTGGCACCGTTCCTAACCGATTGCCTGCACATAACTTTTCTGCTGGCCTGGAAATATTTTATTGTACTATATAAGGAAAACAATAGAGAATCAATAATATGCACTTGCTGTTGAAAATGTACACTGAGAGCCTATGAACCAGAGACAAATTCCTTGCGTGTCCAATCACACTTGGCCAATAAAGAATTCTATTCTATCCCATCCCATCCTTTCCCTTTCCCTTCCCTTCTATTCCTTTTTATCCCATCCTATCCCTTCCCTTCCTTTCCATTCCATTCTATTCCTTTTTATTCTATTCCTTTCTATCCTATCCCATCCTTTCCCTTCCCTTCCCTTCTATTCCTTTTCATCCCTTCCCTTTCTTTCCATTCCATTCCATACTATTCCTTTCTATTCTATTCCTTTTTATCCC